GGTATATTTTTTCGCTAAAAATATTACATTAGATTATATAAATAGATATGAATCAAACAACAATTTGGTATCAAATTTAATCAAATATGAAAAATCAACCTGTCTAATAATTATAAATATATTTCACTGTTACTAAATAATCGAGGGTACAGCATCGTTAATAAAGTATTTTTTTGTATCACACATTAAATAAGTTGGTCTTAAAGTACGCTGCGATTCCACATAAAAAAGGTTGAATGAAAATGCGTTTTTAGCGGTAAAATGATCGAGATTTATTTGAAACATGAACACCTAAATGTAAAACTTTCGAAATTCATATAAATTAAGCTGAAAATTGTTACTCTGAACGTTTTAAGCAGAATATTACAAATTAAAGCGGGGGTCGTCACCTGCGCACCTATTCGCGACAGCGGACGAACGTAAAACATTTCAAGTTCGCCAGAAGTCGATGCTGCTTTCACGTCTTGAGGAAATTCGCAGAGAATCCCTTGGTCAAAACTAATGGCTAATTCATTTTACTCTGTGGCAACGTTATGCAATCAAATTTTAAAATAAGGATGCGAATTTTTGTTTACTTTTTTTCAGTTATGTCGTGGTGTAAAATTAACATAACTCCAGTGAGTATACCATCACTAATATTCCGTTTTTAGTATGCGGTTTTTGTACGACACCCGGATGTTCAACGGTCGAGAATGAACCTGCAAGTTTCCTTACAAGTCCCTTTAGTGACGAAGAACTTGTGTAACGTAAATAGTTGACAGTGATACCGTTCAGTTTTGTTTTTAATTCGTGATTCTCCGTGAATAGAACATATCGGTTTTTTTGAGTTTCTAAATGACATGAATACACAACCCTAGTTGTTCATATCGTCGTTGCTAGAAGGCGTGACATTTGTCGCAACATGGTAAATCTACGGAACAAGAAATCTCATACAATCTATTATAATGAAAATCACAAGTATGAATTCTGACCTGGGTGCGACTTGCAATATTTACAGCTGGCGACGCATTCGATGCCTTCCCAACATCTAAAATTACAATTGGTAACATCTCAGTTTGTACTCATTGATCTACGCAACAGTCAATGTTGTCATCTTTGTTTACACGAGACCCATAACTTGCGCATGCGTGGCTGTCGACCGCCCCCTTTTAAAAAGTAGAAGCCGCAAATAATGAATTGGTATATATAAACTTTATATTCTTTGAGTATTCCACAGTTCAGTGGTACAATGGTTTAAATTAATTGTGATG